TGCCATGCAGGCGGCACAAGCAAGTAGTGAAGCAGTGCAGAGAATGGCGATGCTACAGACAGGTGGTGGTGCGCCAGCAGACAGAGCAAGGATAGATTCACGTGAGCTGCTTAGAATTTTGCCTAAGCCAGACCCTTTCCCGGCAAAGACGCGTGATGAAGAACTTTCCATGTGGAGGTCTTGGAGTTGGAAACTGGAAAGATGGTTGGAGGCGGTTGACCCTGGTTATGTGGAGGACCTTATTGCAATCAAAGCAAGAGAGACCCCTGTTGAGTTGAGTTCCATGACAGAGGAGGCCAGACATCGGAGTCAGGTGCTATTTGCAGTTTTGGCCTCGCTTCTCAATGACAGATGCAGACAGATTTTGAAGGGTATTGAGAGTGGTAATGGTTTTGAGAGTTACAGGGTGATTTCTCGGGACCTTCTTCCCACAGCCCGGACGCGCGCATTGGCTTTGCTGCAGGCAATCAATTCATGGCCGAGTTTTTCTCCTCAGCAAGGCATGATGCTTCAGTTGAGTAAGCTGGAACAGGCGCAGCGTGAATACGAGTTGGCTTCCAACACAACACTCACTGACGATCACAAGATGGCGATTTTGTTGAAGTGTTTGACTGGTCAACTCAAACAGTATACCAATTTGATGATTGCAGATAGTTCAACATACGGTGAACTTCGACAACTGGTGCAACGTTGGGAACTTTCACAGACAAAATGGGCGAACCCCATAGCAGCCAGCTATCAAGATCAGGACGAGCCGACCCCCATGGAGATCGACCGCGTCAAGGGCAAAGGAAAGGGAAAAGGAAAGCAGGACAAAGGAAAAGGGAAGAACAAATTTGGCAAGGACAAAGGAGGCAAAGGAAAGGACAAGCAGCAGAGCAAATCGGAGAAGGGCAAAGGTTACGGTAACCAGAAAGGCAAAGGTAACGGACCTGGACCTTCTTCAAATGTTTGCTTACATTGCGGAAAACCAGGACATTGGAAACGCGATTGTTGGCAGCTTCAGCGTGAGACCAACAATCATGGTGTGAGACGCGCGGAAGATCAGACAGCCGAACAGGTCCCTGCGGCAGGTGCAGCAGCAAATGCAACAGGGAACACGGTGCGACGTGTTGAATTTCTTGATGAGGAGTATGAGGTGTTTGATTTGACTCAATTTGGTGCATATGGTTCAGATGATGCATGGTTTCAGCATGGAAATCTGTTCATGGTCAGTGAGCAAGAGCAACATGAGCAACTCCACCAGCCTTGCATGTGTTTTGACATGACATACAGCGACAGCGACTTGCATTGGACAGAGCCGGATTCGCATTTGCCACGCAGCCATATTCTTGATGGTTACATGGATGATTTATCAGATTCTGTTTCTGATTATTCCGAAGACTTTCCATGTATTCGTGCGGTGAAGAGGGTGAACACGGCTATGCCAACTTTGGCAAATGTGATATTGGACAGCGGTGCGGACGCCAGTATTCTGCCTGTGCATATGGCCCAGGTGGGTGTGCCCGCTCGGAGCTCAGCCGCGAACCAGCGTTTTCACGATGCTCAGGGGCATCCGATGAAGGTGCAAGGCCGGCGACTTGTGGACTTGGCTTTTGGAAGCACTATCATCAGAGAGGAATTTCTGGTGGCCCCGGTTTCAGCCCCATTGCTTTCAGTTGGGAAACTGTTGAAACATGGTTGGAACATCGGCAGTGTGAATGGACAGATGAGCTTGTGGAATGACAGGACTGTCATACCAACAGATTTTGTGCGCAATTCACTATGTGTGCAGGCTGAGATTCGTGCAGTCAAAGCAGTTGGGAGCGAGTGCATTCCGGTGAAGCTAGGTGAAGTTCTTTCTGGACTTGGAGCAGGATGGGCGCAGCTCTCAGATGGCGTTTGGGCAGTGAAGGTTTTTGGATCAAATTACATGGATGTGCCGAGCAATCTCCCGAGAGAGATGGTAGATCGGCGCACAACACTGATTTATGTGAGTGACAAATGGTGGCTGGTTGAATTTACAGAGAAGTTGCAGGAGAAAGAAACCATGGATGAGCCGATTGAATACTTGGATTTTCCTACAGATGTGATTACAATTGCTCACAAGGGATATCAGCATGCTGGTGTTCTTGGATTTGAGATAGAGGAGATGCGGAAGCAGGACCAACCTCGGAGATCGTCGGAGGAAGAGATGGCAAAGGCGTCTGAAGGGCTTCGGCAACGCTCGTCAGGAAGCCGAGACAAAGCGACAGTGGTGGAATCCGCAGAAAAGCAGATTGAGCTTGAGATGGAGGAGCCCCCTCTGGATGACAAAGTGGTGGAGGAACACGCGAAAGCAGGTGCTGATGTGCCCGCAGTTCCGCGAGATCCAGATGAGATTGAGATAGATCAGGATGGCGAACTCCTGAATGCAGCATGCTCTTTGAGGGCACTACGGACGGCGTGTGAGAAGTGGCGTTTGCCGAAATCGGGTGGAAAGCAGGTGATTCTGAAGAGGTTGTGGCAGCATCAGCAGAGCCACAAACTGGTGGAGGATCACAAGGTGGTCATCAACGAGGAGAAGTTGGCCAGACATGAGGCCAAAGAGGTGGCGCCAGTTGTGGCGCCGAGCAAAACGGAGCAGGACGCACACGCTCTCACGCACTATCCTTACCAGCCATGGTGCAGTCATTGCATTTCGTTCAAGGCTCGGGAGGACAAGCATTTGGTGAAGCGCGACTCAGAGCATGGGTTGCCGGTGGTAAGCATGAATTTCAATTTCACAGCACGTGGTGATTTGCCGAAAGAGGCAACTGAGGACAAGGCACTCATTTGCTTGATCATCACGGATCGCGATACGAAACTGGTGCAGGCGGTTCCCACTCCGGCCAAAGGTGGACTGGCCACAGAGATGCTTGCAGCAGCAGTGGTTCGGTTCATGGCCTTTTTGGGTTACAGCAATTGCATCTTGAAGTGTGACAATGAGGTTTCGCTGACGAGTCTTCAGAAACGCATTCAGAAAATCAGGCTGCAGATTGGGTGCAGAACTCAGTTGCAGACAATCCCCACTGGTGAGTCTCAGGCGAATGGGCAAGTGGAGCAAGCAGGACAGGCCATTCGGTACCAGGCATGCATTTTGCTATCACAGCTGGAGGAAGGGTGCAAGATGAAGATCCCCACTGGACACCCGTTGCATGGCTGGGCATTTGTGCATGCAAGTTTCCTTCATTGTAGGTACCATGTGATTCACGGCACCACAGCATGGGAAAAGATCACAGGCGCCCCATACGGCAGTCGGCTGGTTCAATTCGGAGAGTCGGTCATGGCGCATGTGAAGGTGGTCAACAAGGGCAATCCTCGCTGGATCAAATGCATTTGGTTGACACGTGTTTCTGCCAATGACATGCATTTGTTGGTTACGCATGGTGGCGAGTTGATTTTATCTCGTTCGATTCGGCGAATCCCAGATCGTTGGAATGCGACTATGGTTGATGCATGCAAAAGGATGCCGTGGGATCATCCAGGCCACTTGAATAAATATTTGGGAGCAGTCAAGCCCAAGACACCGGCCCAAGCTGCGAAGGACGCTGACTGACTGACTGACTGACTGAATGAATGAAATGAATGAATGAATGAATGAATGAATGAATGAATGAATGAATGAATGAATGAATGAATGAATGAATGAATGAATGAATGAATGAATGAATGAATGAATGAATGAATGAAAGAATGAATGAATGAATGAATGAATGAATGAATGAATGAATGAATGAATGAATAATGAATGAATGAATGAAGGAGAAGGAGGAAGGAAGGAAGGAAGGTAGGAGAAGGAAGGAAGGAAAAAAGGAAGGAAGGAAGGAAGGAAGGAAGGAAGGAAGGAAGGAAGGAAGGAAGGAAGGAAGGAAGGAAGGAAGGAAGGAAGGAAGGAAGGAAGGAAGGGAAGGAAGGAAGGAAGGAAGGAAGGAAGGAATGAATGAATGAATGAATGAATGAATGAATGAATGAATGAATGAATGAATGAATGAATGAATGAGTGTGTGTGTGTGCGCCATGTAATGGACATGTGATTTGTATGCTTGCATGTATGTGTCAGGGACTGATGCAGTGTAATGTTGTGTGTGTATCTGCGTCTGTGTGTCGTTCTCTCTCTCTCTCTCTCTCTCTCTCTCTCTCTCTCTCTCTCTCTCTCTCTCTCTCTCTCTCTCTCTCTCTCGAAGTATGTATGTATGAATGTATGAATGTATGAATGTATGAATGTATGAATGTATGCATCTATGTATCTATGTATGTATGTATGTATGTATGTATGTATGTGTGTGTGTATGTGTGTGTATGTATGTATGTATGTATGCATGTATGCATGTATGCATGTATGCAAAACATGCAAAACAAAGAAGCCGTTCAGGCAACAGGCGAAAAACACAACAAAAACAATAACGGCTCCTCCACTTCCTGAAGGCGCTGCCTCCAGCCACGCGCACTCCTGCACGCCCAGCTCCACCTCCACCACCGCCGTGCCCTTGCCGCGGGCTCGCCTCAGCGCCGCCTTTGCGTCCTCGTAGTCCTGCTCCTCAGGCTTTGCCATGGCGGCGTGCAGTCCACTACAGTAACCCCGAAATGCCAGCGGCGCACGCCATGCATAACTTCTCAACTATACATTCCAATGATGCATGTAGCAAGGTTCTTCAACGAAGCAAGTCCCTTGATAAGACATCTTGACCTCAACAAAAGACATGTCTGCAAAACAAAAAAAACAATCCTGACACCCAACCAACCGCCATGTGCTTGCCTGCTGCCTCTCCCTGACCTGTTGCCTATACCTGTCGCCTGTCGCATGCTCTCTCACTGAATCTGCCAAAACCCACATTGTGGCCAACCTGCGCTCACCCCCACGCGTTGCCAGATCCATCTTAATTGAATGAAACGTGGTCAAGTCCCGCGCTGCGACTGGTGACTCTATGATTGGAAGTCTGGATGAGGCTAGTCATGCATGTAAAGAAAAGAAACATGATGCACCAAAGTCACAGGTCGAGCTACTTTGTTGCAGGCACTCTTGCCTGATGCCGCTTTACCTGCCCCGCGTCACGGCTCTCCAACACTCCAATTCTCAGATGTTCAAGGACTTGTTCGTCGAGCTCCAGGAATATTTCCTGTTGGTTCCGCACTGTCCACAGCGCACGGACATTGGTTTCGGTGAAGGAGACGCCTCCATGCGTGACAGCAGGCAGCGTCACGGTGACAGTGGCCGGCGCCAAGTGGCGGTCAGCTGGGGTGACTCGCCTTTTCTTGTTGGGCGGCTTGGAGTTCTCCTCACCCTCCATGACCACCGCCATTGCGTCCTGCACGGCAGCCTTGGACTTGCTGTTCCGTTGGGCGATCAGTTCATCCAAAAAGGTGCAGTTCACGTGGTGGCCCTTCCCTGCCCTCAAGTCTTGAGAGCGGCCGGTCACCATCTTGCAAAAGCAGGTGTCCCACTTGTTGATTGCCACGAATGCCACACCCTCCACGGTCTGCGTGCGAGGCAGCCATGGAGATTTCTCGGTGAACTCGTTGGTTACAGAGTAGATCTGTTTCACTGACACGCGAGAAACCATCGCCGCGGGCGAGCCACGGGCCCTGCCACAAGCGGTATGGGGCAAGCTTGGAGCCCTGCGCCAGATACGGCAGTCTTGCCAGCTTGACCCACAAATTGCTAAACGCAAGATGGCTCATGCCAGCGGAAAATAGAACAAATGTGACAGGCTTGTTGGGAAAACGAAACTGCAATGCAATGGTGAGGCCAAACCCCACGCGTGACTCGCAGACCACAGTTTTGCAACACAATCACAAGGGTCTTTGCCAATACTCAGGGTTGGCACAAACACATCGATGGTGATTCTTCTGGAGATCCTACAAAAACCATCGATGCACTCTTACTGCGGGTCGTGCAAAAGCACTGACTCAAAGATCGTCGTTCTGCTTGCCCACCTTGCGCTTTTTTGGAGGAGCTTCTGGCAAGATCTCCGCGAGCTCCACCAGCTTCGCGGACTTGGGACGCAAGACCATGAGAGCCGTGCCCGGCACGATGCTGACCGTATTCTTCATGAGTGGAATGTTGACCTGGCCCTGCGAAATGGCCAGCTCTTCGCCGTCGAGGTCTGGGGAAATGGCCATGTTTGTCGTTCGTCACCTGAACGAACCAGAAGCTGTCCAACAGTCCCTGCTTGGAATCCTTTGGGACCGATGTGACTGGTGCAAGGGACCACATGAGCTTCTCACCGTCAAGTCGCTTCCTGAGCGCCGAACAATGGCCAAACGAGTTGCCCATTTGTATTTGGTGATGGAGTTGGAAGGAACACTTTCATAAAACAAACGCTGCGGAACTCGTCCCATCAAAACTCATCCTAAGGTGTGAACATACATAGTGACGCTAAGGCTCACCCACCCTAGTGGGATGTTGGCTGCGCTGTGACCACGAGACTCTTCTTTCACTTCCACCCTAGTGGTGGCTGGCACCAACACCAGCTGCCCCTTTGGGAAGTGACGGTTGGAGATAATGGCCTTGCTGGGCTTCAATACCATCTTGAGGCTTTCTGGAACTTCCTTGTGGTCCCTGCTCAGGCGTTCAAGCCCAGCATCACCTTCCCCCGCAAAATGGCGGCCTGAAAGTCCGGGTGATTGAGGCACGCGTGCTCCCAGTGGTTGGCAAGCTCCTGGGGCTGGGCCTTGGGTGTATGCTTCTGCAGCAAAGGACTTTATCGAAACCCTTGCAGAGCCATGGATGAGGCCGTCGTTGATTGAGATGAGGATGGATCCATCCGGCTTAGCTCCTGTGATGACGGCAACAACCTTGTCTGCTTTGCGGCAGGCCCATTCCCCCACTTTGAAACCATATTCCAGTAAAAGCTCGTCCGGATGGGCAGGCTTGCCCGACGCATCGTAGTGCCTCATCCTGGGTGTGTCGCGCAGTGGTGTCAAACAGCTCCCTATATAGAAAAACCCGCAGAAAAAATTGACAAGGTGACAAATTTTGAACGAAATGATATCTTACAGCAGTCCAGTAGCGCAAGTCCGGAGTTCTGTCCGCTGGAGCTGGCAGCCGTAGAGACCACGCCGGTCTCCCTGTGAGACTCCCATTTCTTGGTTAGCGCAACGCCATGCTCCTTGGCGATCAAGTCAATGGTCTCTTGCGCACAAGCCTCCACAGTGGCAGGCCTCTGCATGCCCTTGAACCGCTTGTCAAGCGTCACGGCCACAGCAGCCATCTCAAACTTGAAGACTTCCTGCATGATGGCATCTTTGTTGGCAGCTGTGGATGCCAGCGCTCGCATCTCTTGCATGATGCCCTCCACGTGAAGGACTGGCTGCAGCATGTTGGCACTGCACATGCGTTTGCAGTCAGCTGGAACAATGAACTTCTCAGGGGACAGGTACGCAAGCCTCAGAAGCGCGTGCCTGAAGCGGAGGCCATCCTCCCCCTTCTTGAGGTTTGCCCCGATGGCGTCCCAAAACTCTGGGCCGAGCGATCTTTCGGTGGAGGAGCCAAACTGCTTGATCACGGACTCCGTCTCGACCATTGCCGAGCCCGATGGGCCACCACCCCATCTCATCAGGAACCCGTACATGTGTGGCAAACACGGGGCGCATGGCGGTTTGCTCCGGAGAACCTTTCGCGAAGGCCACCGGCTCCTTCCTACCAGCCGACGCTTCCCGCCACGTGTTCAAAATGCGGCGGGCCAGCTGGAGCTCGTGCTCGCGCCGCTTGGACAAGGCTGGCCAACTTAGGCACCGCTTGCATGACGTCTGCACAAATCACTCTCCACTGCAGGCCACTCTGCGAGGCCTCGTACAGCTGCGCGTCGTGTTGGCGCACCCTCTCCAGGTTGAGGCGCCCGTTCAGACAGAGCGAGTCAGACTCGTGGGCCATCTCAGCGAGGATCAACCGCAGGGCCATGTTGGTGTGGCTGCAACTCAGCGAGGCCAGTTTGATGGTGTGTGGCTCGACTGTCGGCAGGAGGCCGCCCGAGCCGAGCTGCTGCGCTACGTTGAACTCCAGCACGGAGTCGTGCGCGGGGCCTGACCCCGGCACCTCGCACGCCACGGCGTCTACTTGCGCCCAATTCCACCCGCAGGCGGAGATATCACGCAGCAGAGAGTGACAATCCATAGCGTTCAGGCCGTAGCCGTCGCGATTTGCGGGATGGCAATGCACGAATCTAGGGCTCACTCGCTGACGCCGCATCAGCTGCTTGTCCTCGAGGTAAGTGAACAAGGCCCCCATCGTCTGAACCATGCGGCCCTCACTGGCCTGCTCCACCATGGAGGAAATGGCCTCGAGCGCGTCGGCAGTCAACGCCATGATGCCTTGCAGAAGCCTAGAAACTGCGAGCAAAATGCCCTGCAAATGCACGGCGAGCACGTTTGCGTGCCCTGCCGTGGTTTGACGAGCAACAATGCCCTGTCTGATGCAGTTCATATATGACTGCGAAACGATTTATGAGTGTGCGCCGCTGCAAGGTGGCATGCCATGCATCAGTCTACAGCTGCAAATGTCTCAGCCGCAGCCTTCCAGTTTCACCGACAGCTCGCGTTTCACAAGCGTGGGGTTTCACCTTTGGCTCAAACAGACTCAAGCTGCGAAAACGATCCAATTTTCTCCAGCGATTTCAGCCGTTGGTGCCAGTTTGGCCAAGCATCTATATGTACGTTGCCTGACCAAAAAAAGCATCCAGCAAGTGGCAAACTCACGCAGAGGTAGGTGCCCAAGTCCAGGCACGCTGCGTGCGGTCTGCTTGTTGAACAAGATGTCATCCCAGAAGAAAATCCATGTTCGTTTTTTTGGGGGGGAGGGAGGGTAAAAAACAATAACTGTTTTGCATCTCTGCCAGACATGTTCATTTTACAAACATGACTCGTTGGCTTTGAGTTTTGAGATTGGTGTGGAAATGTTTTAATGACCAATTCCTGTCAACGAAAAGCCCTGACTCTTTGCTTGGGAAAGCCAAATGATGGCCAACTAAGCCAAACATAATACTGTAATCTAAGCCCAGAAACTATATACACCAATTCTACACCCCCTATGAAGTTGCTTGGACACTTCGCCCGCCCGTCGCCGCCGCCCAAGCTGGCCTGCGTGCCACCGCAGCTGGCCAGCAGCTGCGACTGCCAAATCCTGTATGTTATTAGCGTATGGAAACATATATATTTACGGGTTAAGGGGTTGGTTTCCCACGGGGCCGATACTAAATTTCAAAAAAAGAACACCCGCTCTTGCCCTTTTTTGGTTTGGGAGGGGGAGACTTGGTCCGAACGCGTTTACGAAATGTTTTCTCCCCGGAACAACCCCGGCAAGAGAAAACTAAAAGGCAACACTTCGCTAATCGTTGATGCTGTGCGTTGGTAAACATGAGCTTCGGGTCCTTATATAAGAAGGGAATCGGACATGTTAAACAAGTTGTTGTGCAAAACCTTCTTTCCCGTGTTTCCTCGGCATGCATGCTTCGGACAGGAAGAGGCATTCGGATTCCAGATGCGGCATTCGACAAAGCGTGGCAAGTTTTCCACCCCAACAAACCACAGCCAGTTCAGGTCGAGGCCAATCACCGCTGGCAGTTGCATGGCGCACCTCCGGGTGCAAAAAGTGAGCGCATCAATGAGTTCCTTGGTAAGCTCTCGATCAAAGGCAGGACCCTTCGGAAACAGGGGCAAGTCTGGATTGTTGTTACCGCGGACCCACTCCCGAGGACCCATTTCCGATTCAATGAACATGATGTCATTTTCCAGACTGTCGCGAGCAAGCCATCAGCTTCACGCCCGATCATCGCCGGCGCTCGGGTTTCCCCTGTTGCCCAAGATAAGGAACGCAGCCAAGACGTCCTCCAGCTGCACGACCCGTGGGCCCGAGCCAAAGGAAGCCAAGCAGTGCAGACCACAATCCCTCCGGACCTTGATCGGACTATCCAAAATCAATCCAAGCAGATGCAGAAACAGCAGAGTGACTTTGCAGCCTTGCAGTCAGAAGTTAAGAGCATGCAGGGCACCATGCAGAAGGTCCAGCAACAGCAGCAAGTCCAAGATCAGATCTCCCAGCAACTGCAAAAGGACTTGCGAGCCACGCGCACGAGCTTCGAGCAGACGCTCCGCACATCCCTCGCTGAACAATCCAAGACCCTCATGGACTCGATCGGGAAGATGTTGCGAGCCACGCCAAAGTCTCGATCCCAGCCCTCATCCAAGCGTCAGCTTGATGAGGACGAGGACATGCAGGATTGAATCCAGTAGTGCGGCCGCAAGGGGGCCACTTGCGACCAGCGGTAGATCCAGTGATGCGACGGTGTCACGCAGTAAGGGGCATGGTCTCCCAATAGACCATGCAGGGGATGCTGCAGATGCCCTCGGAAAGAAAAAACTCCAAAACCATAAAAATCGCATAACTTACGCGATAAATTCTTTTGCCAAGGATGTCGCTACAAAGGGGAAAATTTCACAGTGCATTCTGACCATGCAGGTCGTGCTTTTACTCTGCTGTCAGCAAAGAGGAGAGATCACGTGCCAGCCTGGTACGTCTACACTGTGTGGGGTACCTCCCCTTTGATCACCAACCACCTTCGAGGGGAAGTTGACTCAAGTGCTCTGGGGAGCAACATTGGGTTGCGATACCGACAGATCCAGAAACCTCAGAATGAACCCTTCGGGACTCCATTCGAGAAGATCACATCCATTCGCATTGTTTCCTGGCACCCTGTTCGATTGCATACGTGCCAGGTCATGCGCAGCGGTCATGATCATGGCGCTGTTGGGCGCCACGAGCACAATCCGACTTGTTGTGCTGATGCAATATGTTACTGCACGCACACAGACCATATATCCAGGGCTGTGGACTCTCTGCCCAACGGAGATACGCCCCCACAGCTCGGTTCATCATGCACACCACACATATTCCAACCCCGGTCACGGACGATTCCCTTCAGGCCAATTTTGTCCCTTTCAGGTACGACTCAGATAACCCATAATCTCACACTTGTGATGCAGCAGACCCCAACACCCGTTGGAGGTCAGCGGCAAAATCCTGCCACCCGGCATGTCGACCAGCCATCACAGGCAACCATTCCCATCAGTGCCATCATTTTGCCACGTCAAGTGCCAAAGTGTGTGGTAGCCGACCATTTTATTTCGCATCAGGTCTCCCATTCCGGCACTCCAAACTTCAATAACCAATTCGACACTCGGACCCCTTCTCGACTTCCCATATGTGTCACTAGACTTTGGGTTACATCCATTATACTCCTCACTTTCCCCTTCCAACGCAATAGCCCCAAGCCGACTTCGGCCCTGTTCGCATGCGGTTCTTGCCGCCGAGTTTGCCGGAACCAAGAGGCATGTGATCCCATTTGGAATCACTCATCCCAGCGTTCGGGGAAGCAGACACCCGACGGGCACGCCTTGGTCCAGGCAGTCCAGGGAACCGGACACCATACCCGTGCTGCAACCCATCATGATGCCAATCAGGTCCATGTGGCAGCTCGGAACCCCGGTTGGGGGAGGCTGACAATCCGGGGCCTGTCGGAGTGTCGACCCCGGAGGATCAGTCTGATCTCTGCCACCTCACTATCGTCAACATCACTAAATTGCGTAAGCGCCAGGACGAAGTCCTTAAAATCTATTCGAGTAAGCCTGGCATCATTTGTTGTGCTGAGACTTCCTCCGACACCACAATGCATTGCCTGTTCCAGAAGCAAGCCAGACAGCGCAACTTGCAATATCACCCCGGCGCCCCGTGTGCGCCGAGTAAGATCGCAAGCCAGAATACGAATGTACCATACATTGGAGGAGTCGGAATGCTTTGCCCACACTCTTCTAGGATGTGCCCGGTCATTCGATCGAAGGCCGAGTGGGACAGTACCAGGTACACTGAAGCGATTGTAAATTTTGCTGGGCTGCAGGTACTCGGCATCACCCTGTACCTGCACACCCAGGATACATCCTGGGAGCTGTACCGCAAAGACGCCTCAGATGCCCTGCAGCAACGTGCCAAACCAATTGCCTGACCAATCGCTTTTGTGGACTGCACTCTCGGACAGAGGATGGGTTGAAGCCCATCACTTTGCATCACACCACTTAGGCACGCCAACGGATTTCACCTACAAGGAGGACACCCGCAACGACACGTTTTTCTTATCACCTAGTCTGGTAAAGGTGACCCGTGACTTCTCATTCCCACTACACCACCCTCTTACGGTCCAGACTAAGAAGACCTGGAAACTCTGCCGCCCCTTGTCTCCCTCCCAACTGGGAGCCATTGATCCAGATGTCCATGATGAGTTTTTTGTCGAGGAGCTTAATCGCCTGGACCTCGACAGTCAAATCCCCGGCGGCATTGATATGCAGCAATGGTCAGTTGCAGCTGAAAATGCCATGCACCGATGTCTGGTAAAAGTTGGTGCTGAACCCATTGCGCAACGACAGCGTGGGCAGGGTAGACCTCCGGTTTATAAATGGACACCTTTTCGGGCAGGACCAAAAATTGCACGCCCAGGTGACTTCCAGCCAACCGAAAAGTGCACGTCCGTTCGGGCAAAACAACAAGTTCGACAAGTCCGTCGACTTGATTCGATCACCAGAATGCTCGTCAAACATGGTGACTATCAGCAACCCACAGTCCACCAGGACTGGAAGGCGGTATGCCGTGCCAAAGGTTTTTTGCCAGACTTCCCCACATGGTGTGGAGAAGCCCTCCCCACATATCCAACCTTGGGGATAGTCCAGCAATTGGCTGAACAGGTCCGCACATCCATTCGAACTCTTGAGGCAGAGAACTCTAAAGCCTCTCGACAGAGATGGTCGGATGCGCTAAATAAATCCTGGAAAACACAAGGTAATAAATTGGCACATAAGGTGACCGCTAAAGGATCCAACCCTTTTCTCACCATGGCTTCACAAATACACCAGGTAGAGTGCCACAGACTCCGCGCACGGGGTAAACACCGTGCACGATTCGTGTTGCCGGCCCATCAGAGACGCCAGTATCATGAACTCACCCTGGCCAGTGGAGAGCCTATAGAGTGGGATTGCAAGGCATCCGGGACCCTCTTTTCTCAGTCCAAAGAACACACTCTCATCATCATCCGAAAGGAGTGGCATTACCGCCCGGAGGATGTCCAGGATCAATTCTTCCAATACTGGGCTCAATTCTGGGGGCAAGGGGACCCCGATGGGGGCGCTCTCTCCCGATGCCGAATCCCAGATGAATGGAAGATTGATGGATGCCACCTCCTCACTCCAGATACTTTTGCAGACGCGCTCAAAGGCACGCGCAACAACAGTGCTGCCGGAGCAGATTCTTGGAGAATCCCAGAAATA